GGCGGCCGAAGAGCTCTGGTTCCCTGATTACAAGGCAGGGCCAGCCAGAGGCCCCATCTGAGCATGAGCCGCTGGCGCTACCGCTAGCCACTGAGACAAAAAACGCGGCAACTGCCATTCTTCTACAGGGTAGAGTGTGTGTGTGTGTGTGTGTGTTTTGATTGTGACAGCACTCAATCTGGCAGAGACAGAGAGAAGCCCCCTCACCCCATGAAAGGTTTCAGAGAAAGCCACAAGTACAGGGGTCTCATCTTCAAACGGGAAACTGTTATGGCTTCCAAATGGTGAAAATGGCTGCCATGCCTGGCAAGCGAGCCACCGCACGACCACCACTAATCAGATTGGAGGTATAAAGCAAAGGGGAGGACAGTGGTCGCATGCTGATGAGCAGCAGGCAAGAAAGTTCAGAGAAACGAAAGGAAAATGCTCAAACTGATTTCCCGGATAGAGACGGGGCAGATGGAGAACCTGTGGTTTCTGAGAAGAAACCCCTGGACGAAGCTTTAATCTACTGTACGTACAGGAGATCATCTCACGTTATCTATCACAGGCAGAAATCTACCGCTGTGGAGCAACAGGCACGCAAACCTTTTGAGCATTTACAGCGAGCCTTCAATTAGCCTTCTGAAGGTCTTAAACGAGGCTGAGTGCCAAGTTGATAATAAAGAACCACATAAAGCTGCCTGTAAACACACCCAGAGGAGTCGGTCCCTGCGGAGGTTTCCTCTCCGAGGCTTTGGTGGCAGAGGCTGCAGGGTGTGACAGAGTAATTTGGGGAGAGGGGTGAAGGGAGTCGAGCTGTTTTTCAGCCTTGTTTCACAACCAGTGTCAGAGAGAAGAAAAGAAGGACTGTAAGCGCAGCTGCTTACAAAACCACCACTTTAACACACACGCACACACACAAAGTGAGTGTGCCGCCAACTCTATCGCACCCGACACACACACACATAACTCTGACCACAAGTCAGAGAGGTATCACAGTCTCAAAACATACAGAGCGACATGAACAATAAAATGATTACACCCAACCCACCCACTCTACAGACACACACACACATACAGACAACCAACCAACACACATGTGGAAGTCTTTACCTCTCAGTTCCCTCCCTCGCTCCTCAGTGTGTAATTACTGTGCTATTAAGCCCCTGTGGCAGTGTAATGACTGACTACGGTGCTGGCACTGAGTGGGAAGTGTCACACACTCTCCACGACTGATTTTACACATCCAAATGACATTTTTCACTCACAGGCACTTTGAACTTAGAGATAAAGGTTGTGCGATAAGATGTTCGACCGATTTGATTCATTTTAATCATCCTTGGTTATGAATTTGAAGAAATCAATCCATTTATGTTAAAAAGATTACATGGTAGATGTGAATGCATGACGTCTGACCTGATACACAACAGCTTACAAATTGGCAGTGTTAGTGGCTGTATCTTTTGACTGCAAGGAAGAACTGAAAAACCCCAAGGGAAGTTTCAGCGAGACAAACTGACCTTCAAACACACAGGACCCTGCTGCTGACACGTTCTCAGATGAGACTGGGTTGTCTCATCACAGGTGTGTCGGGCAGTATTTAAATGTGGGTATGAAAAACACATCCCCTAGCGGACGTCAGTATCCCTTAAAATGCTTTCAGACATGCACGCACATTGGCCTGAAATGTTCCAGAGGCGCTGAATACAAATGTCATATTCAGCTGCTCTGGACATTTTCTGGAGCTTTTCCTGCCAGCCCCCACGGTTAAATGTCTAAAAACTAGAATTAGTCAAAGTTTTTGGACATTTCCTGGAGGTCATGTCTAAAAACGGTTTACTTTCAATTTGAAGGAAATTAGAGCAGTGGCAAAGTTTCAGGTCTGTGGTGAGATATTTTTTTCACCATGGACTCAACACTGAATGTCCCTGCTCAATTTTCAGACATTTCAATGAATGTTACTGTAAAGCTGCTTTCAGATATGCCCTGAACTCAAAATAATCTCCTCACTTTCTCCGGAGGGGCTTAATATGGGAGAACACAAATGTCTGTGTGACAGCCTCAGGACTTTCTCTGGAGTTTCTCAGCCTCTAGTAAAAACCCTGGATAATGTCTGAATGAGCCAATGTGAGAAAACACCACATGATTGAGTGGGTGCAATTTTGTTAACACACAACTTCCGCAAAACTGATCAAAATAAAGGAATACAAATATGTCAGGATGAAGAAGATGTGTCACAGACATACAGTAGATGACACTGACAAAGATGTCGACATAGAAAGAGCTTTTGGTGATAATGGCTGACACCAGTGTTGATGTGCTGTAAACAAAATCACATGATCTCCGCGGTAGAATTTGTACGTCATAGGACATGAAGAATCTCCTGCCGCGTTCTTCGTATGTGAAAGGCGAACTCCGGAGAAAGGCCAGACCCAATTGTGTGGACATTCTCCGGAGCTCACATCTGAAAACGGCTTGTATTTGATGCAAAGGACAAGACACAGAGACGAGAGTTTCATTCTTACTTTGTAGAACTTGGCTCCAGTGTCGTTCTGGAAGAGACTCAGACTCTTGCTATCCAGCCTCCAGTAGTGTCTCTTCCTCTGTTAAAATGGAGGAAAACAAACACCACATTAGTCTGCAATGCACAAAACTCATCCAATATTGCAGTAGTTACTATTTATTTAGTTTCTCAAGCAAAATACCTTCTGTGCTGAATTCATTACATGAATTCAACAGCTTTGGAGAGAGGGAGTTTTCCCCAGCATTAAGGCTAAGAACAGCCCATTTCAGACTGGGCTCCTCTGTAGAGCTTTGGGAGGTTATCAGTCTTACCAGGTTGTCCCTGCTCGTATAATGTACCATCCAGCCCTCCTTCACTACAGTGGAGCTCCGCCTCTTGGTGTGTTTGATGGACTGGACCACCCGCATGAGAGGGATGTTGCTGCTAGTGGAAGGACTACACACACACACACACACACACACACACACACACACAAGATAATAATAAGATTTCATTGGTTAATATCAGAATCAACAATTATGACTAGAAGCCTGTTAATGAATGGCTTTAAATAAGATTTTCTGGACAGCTACTTTTTTCCTGACAGAAATCCTGCACAGAGAGTGATGCATGATTTTATGTTTGCAGCCGTGGTAACACCGCTGCAAACATAAAAACTCCACTGCTGGCGTAGAATAAACTCAGGCATTGGCCAGTAAGACCTGGTGGTTTAAAACACAACCATAAAGTCCCCGGTTTCAATTAGGATGGTGACCTTTCATGCAAGTCTTCCTCCCTGTCTATGTGTTTTCTGTCACTCTGTACTGAAATATCCAACACAAATAATATGAAGAAAAGCTGAATTTGGGACGGTGGCCTCAGCAGTGCTCAAAACAGCCAAGGCCATTGGAACCACTGGCACAAGCTTATCTCACCAGCTGATCAAATGGTGTATGAGTGAGAGACAGTGGTGTATGGGGTGCCGTTTGTAAAGCAGCTCACGCTGAAAATAACAGCAACATTTTGTCACATTTAGCTTCAAACCATGTTTAAACATGGTTTGAAGCTAAATGTGACAGCGTTAATATATTTCATTAAAAAAACACTCATTTATAATTTAGACAGCTCAACAACACATTTGAGTGTGCAGTATCTCTTTACATCAGCATCTTCACACCTAATCGTCTTGATGGGCTCTTCATCCTTCTCTCTATCCAAGAAGGGAGAGTCCATGTCGAACATCCTCTCGTCTGGTGTCGAGGGTTCCTCTGGGTCGTCCAGTCCTCTGCTGCCTTCCATGTCACTACTGTCCACTTCCATTGTGTCCATGGTGGTGTCTGAATCTGGGCCGGGGCTTGCGGGCTCTATGTACATGACAAATGAAAATGTTTGAAATCACAAATATTTAAGAGATATAACACTGTCTCAGTGAAACTGGATGAAATGATTACCTCCATTGAAGTCCACCTCTCCTAAACAGTCTCTTGGCACCTTCGAAGCACATCGTTTATGGCAGTTGAATCTGCAATCTGGCCAGTGAAATAAAAAAACAATGACAGAAATAAATTACGATCATGGTAAAATGCTCCCATGATGTTCTCAAATGATCTCCATTATCTTTGAAACACACTTCTTACCTTTACACTGCATGCCCTGGCGAAAGAGACCCTTGAGCAAGCGCTTGCAGTACTGGCAGATCGTCGGCCGAGTGTAGGTGTGTATGGCGAAGGTGTGCGGCACCTTGACCCGCCCCAGCACCATCTTCTCCATCCAGATCGGCCTACCGCTCCAGGACAGGATCCGCTTCCCTGCCTCCTGATGGGACCTCTGCTGCTGAGGGTTGGAAGGATAAAAAGAATGAAAACAAGTGAAAGATGGAGGGATGTCCGGAGGAATTAAAAAACATATGCAGGAAGGAAGCAAATGGAAAAATGGAATGAAGAACAGCCTCAAAGAGAGTGTGTGAGGGACAGTGAATAATGAGATGGCAGCAAAGAAGAGACAGAAGTCAGTGGAAAAAGAAATGTGTCACACTGAGTTAGCATGACTTTGTCGTCGACACAACCCCGGTGGTCCATACACTGTTATTAGATTTGTCATGTTTTACCACATATAAGCATTTACCGCTGCTTATATATGAATAAATCGAGTCATCTGGAAGCTCCTGGCAGAAACGGGAAGGAAGCGATCTTTCATTTTTTTCAGCGAGTGAGCAAATACACAAACATGGACATTTAATGTCATTAGCATAATCATATTTCCTGATGACCTTTTTGAGGGGACACGGACAAGAGGAGAATATTCCATTGTGGGCTTATCCTAAAACAGTTTCATAAGACCTCACTGAGGATCTCTCAGCGCTGAGCTATGCGCCGCTAAATTCAATTTTCTGAATCAGTGGCGTTCCACAACAGGGCCCAGGAGATTCACTCGAGGAAAAAGACCCAGATTTGCTAAGTTTAGAAACAGCACACAGGCTTGCACACAGAGCGGCTACCTCACATTCTTGGCTCACTCACCTGGCTTCCAGTCTGATTTAGGAACATGTCAAAACTGCAGCCAGCTAAGTTTATGCACAGAGGACAAAAACAATCATCACACTCCCCGACCCCTACATTCACTGGATCAGCAGAAACTGACGTCTTTCCAACTTTTTTTCCCACTTTGCATAGGGAATAACTCATGACTCAACACACCTGGCTCAGAAAGACGCCCAACAAACCACAACGTGGTTCAAAGATCTGCTGGTGGAGGACTTCAGGAAGTTCAGCTGATAAGTATGACTAATCCATTACCTCCCTATAGTCAGATAGTCTGCCTGAACATAGGGAGGTGAGGCATACGACGGACTAAATCATAGTCTCACCTCATCCAGTACGACCACGGCATTCTCAGCAGGTGCCGGTCGGGGGACAGAGAGGGACGGTATGGGCAGGGAGACGTTGGACAGTCGCCTCTTCCTCACACCGCTGCAGTTATTTGGGATCTTAAAGGCGCAGCGCTTGTGGTAGTTCAGCCCACATCCTTAAAAACAAAATCACAGAAGACACCAGTCACGAAAACGAGGATTTATGTTGAAAATTAGCTAAAAGATGCATGAAAAGACCATTTGTATAAGACAATTTATGACTATGTGTGTTTCACTGGCTGATGAATTAACTTTTTTAATTTAATTCATAGTTAAGGAGGTCTTCAAATGCTGACGTATGACATGAACATGAAAGAGTTTAATTCGAATCTGGTCCAATAAAATGAAAGCGAGCCATCATGCCATAATTCCACTGGGATCTGAATGTCAAGCATTTCACTGGCTGCAGTGCTTGGACTGAATCTTTCTTGTTTGCTTGTGTATCTCTCAGATACATTCTTGAGGTCAAAGATGTCATGTGTTTGTGCATCTGTGTGGATACAGTAGGAGCCAGGATGGATTTCTAAGAGTTGTCCCAGTGAAAAGGTCTTAGAGAAGTCAAAGGTTCGGGTGAGAAACAGTTTGTTGTGTAGTGTTTGTCCAGGTGTGTGTGTGTGTGTGGTCCTGACCTTCACATTTGAGCCCCTGCCGCACCAGACCCCAGAGCATCTCCCCGCAGTAATCGCAGAAAGTGGGGGCCTTGTAGGAGTGGACAAAAAGGGCATGGGGTCGGATCTGGAAGTCTTCAACTGTCGCTTGAGCTAAAAAAAAAATAAAACAAAAAAAACGACACACAAGATGTATAACTAAGACTTGGCCAGAGCAAAACAAACCTGGAAAATCATTTTGCAAAGGAAACTGAAGGATTAGAAGAAAAGAAAAGAGAAAAATATGACAAAGGAAGCAAAAGAGCAGCAGTTTAACAAATGTTTTTCACAACTATTTCATACAGTTTTTAATGGTAAAGCAACACTGCAGACAATACAGTCTCACTATATATGTATGCATACTTTAAAGGAAGTTTTCTTCAAAAGAAAGCAAAGAAGTATTTGTCTGCCTGTGCTCTCTTGTAAGTGCCATATCCACTTTGCTCCCCTAGAGGGCGTCACATCTTCAGTGGCACGACTTCAATTTCATCATTCCTTGTATCAAAGTGACAGGGCACACCCAAAGGAGAGCAGAGACCCACAGTGTGACCCTGTTACATCAGTCCATCTTTGTTCTCATGATAATAAATCCATCTGAGCTGTGGCTCTGTTTTTTTCTTTTTGTTCCTCTTCCTTAGTGTTTCTGCTGTTTGTGTCAAACAGACGCTCTGAGCTCACTGCTGGAAGCGGGGCTCGGTTAATCATGTCTGTGAATCATCAAAGATGTGGAAATGAGTAAGATAAAATTGCGGTTTGCACGTGTGTGTGTGTCTCTCTCTCTCTTCTTTTGTGTTCCTCTGCAATCATTTGACCAGTGACCATAAAACACAATAGTTAATCTTTACACTCAGGTTAAGCTGCAGAACTTGCTGCAGGAGTAAGTGGAGGTAATGGGGGCGTCACAGAATGTGTGCTAGTGACTCAATCAAACAACATTCTCAGCTGTTGTTCGCCGTGATGAGACGCAGACTTGCACAACAAAGTATGAGATTTGGCCAGTGATAAATTAAAATAAAGATTTCCTTTGTCAGGAATCTGCACATGCTCCATATAAAATAAAGAGAAAACATGCTGGAGAAAAAAAAAAGTCAGTCAGAGGGGGAAAAAAGTCTTAGATGTCACAGGAATCCTCACTAAATTGAATCAATTTGATTTGTTCATTCGACAAACAAAATGCAACATTTCCACAGAAGTGATAGGTCGAGGGCTAATTTTAGGGTCGTGGCCTGGGACCAGTGCGAGGAGAGATAATATGTGCAGCATTAATGTATAAGCGGGGATCGTCTGGCCACATTTTTCCGTGGTGTGGTGATGTTGGCCGTTTTGATTTGAGAGAGAGGAAAGAGCACAGGCAAGTCACATGTCACAGTTCCCTGGCACAGGCACATGAAAGGCAGCATTCATGAGCGTTTTCACACACGCCTGCAAAACAACTGACTGCTTCTTAGCAGCCGCAGTGTTATGTATTGCCCGTCGTGCTTATTAGCATCAAACAACGGCAAACATAAGCTCAGCGCGTTGTTTTTCTCACAAGCAAGCAGGCTCACAATGATTTGCTTTGAGCTATCGAGCTCCCAAAGTTTCCATCTGACAAAAACAAGTTAGCCATATTTATGATAAACAGGAAGTATTATAAAATGCCAATGTCACACCGCCGCTGGTGGCCGGTGGGAACCTGAGGCAGCGAAAAACAGAACAAAGGGACAGTCGGTCAGGCCAAGCCTCAAACCTCATGGGCCCGAGATGGCCTGCGCTGCGTTCGCTGAGTCCAGGGCCGCCCCGCACATCAGAGCGTGTTTACACTCGGCGGGTCTACTACAATCACTTACTGCAGCAAAAACAAGCCCTCGCCTTTGAGCCCGCAGCCAAGAAAAAGCCACTTCTGCCTCCCTCCCGCAGCAAGAGAGATATGCACATCGTTTCTCTCCCACAGCCGCAGAATCCAACAGCAGGTTGGTCAGGGAACGCAGAGGCGAAGGATGACAGGGGACAAATTGTGGGGCGGAAAAGGTTCATATTTTCTCTGAACCAAATGAAAGGCTTGGGGATGTGGCTCACTCAGCTTGTGCTTCCCAAACAAAGATCAAGTGTCTGACATTGCAAAGCCCCTCTGAAGAGGAGGGGCCACGTTTATGGAGTGTTGAGTGAAAAGAAAAGAAAAGCAGCATGTGTTGCATATGTAGCAAATCTCCTTACGTTTTCTGCAAGTATATCTCTATAGTGTCTATAGCTCATCAGGTGTGGATTACACCTGCAGATGGATTCAAATGAGAAGAGGCAATGGAGGGAGAGAGAGAGAGAGCGACAAAGGAGCATATGAGACAAACAGAAACAAAAAGGAGGAAGTTCTCCAGTCTTATGTCTGCATTCCTCAGCCCTGAAGTATCCTCAGATCCTGAACCTATACAATCATCCCACATAAATCCCCACAAACAATAGTCTCACAGCTCAGGAGAGAGGAGGAGACGCTCAGCACAGGTGGCGTCAAGTGTTTCCTCGCTGAGGCAGATGGAGCAGGAGAACAGATTAGAGCAGAACAGATACTCTAAAGCCGTTTGCTGCTCCCGGCCCCGCACAGGAAGCTCATTCAGTCATCGCAGGAAGTGACACAGAAAAACACCTGTGAAGGTGCAACAGTGGTGGGCAATGTGGGGTTCTATTGTATGTAGCAATATACCCAGGATGTCTTTTCATTGTCTGGCTGCACTGAGTCTGGCATTGACTAGAAAAGAAAAAGAATAAAACAGAAAATGCAATAAAATGTCCAGTTATTGAAGTCAAGTTGAGGATATTCTGCATGTTTCTTACTGACTGATTATTTTGGTCTTTTGTCTGATATGATCAAAGTATTATGAACATGTGATGAGGATAAAAATAAAGTCATGTCAGATTGAATTAACTCTTGCTGAAGGGGTCAGTCTGACTGGCATGTTTTTATTTATAATCTTTGGAAAAAGTTAACTGTGTGGGAATAATTTTCCTAATAAAAGACATCGGTTTTGCTTTTCCAGTTATCACAAAATATCGTTCTCTCTCAGAAAATCTCTCTGAAATAGCTGCAGTGCAAGAACAAGAGAAATGGAGTGGAGGTTGAGTTTTGATAACATTTTCCTGATACCGATTCCGATTACTTGAAAACAACACAGCAAGTACTTCCTTTAAATCGGTCAGAACTGAAGTTTTATCCAACGTGACTTCCAATTAGTGCATTCAACGTTCGACGACCTTCTGGTCGTTGGATGACCGCTCTACCCCTCAGCCACAGCCACCCCGGCACACACTTACACACTGCTGGAACAGCCATCAGGGGCAATATAGGATTCACTGTCTTGCCCAAGGACACTGACCTTCTGGTTAGTAAAGACATGCCCACGTAATGTCTGGAACAGCAAACATTGCTTTGTCCCCTCTACTGTAACACGTGTTACTATTTATTACTTTTCACTTTCTCATAGACTTTTTTATCTCAGTCAGGATCCTGTCGGAAAGATGATCATGGTCAACTGATCAGATGAGCTTGGCTGTTGACAGGTTTTACTCTGCTGCTGAATACGTGTGCAGCATATATGATCTACCACAGTAAAAAGGAAACCATCAATGTACCAACTGTGGTTTAAGCTGAAGTTACCTCGATAACCTAAATCCTGCTTGGTAGTAAAGGCCTCAGACCTCTGAATGAAACTTTGATAAGGAAGACAGAAACCAAAACAAAAGAAAACAGGTCAGTAAGTGAGTGTTGTGCTGAGTGATTCACTAGTAGTCACCCGCATGAATAACATTTCATTCATGTAGTGCAGTTTCAGCAAGTACAGACGACTCTGACAGTATCTGATCCACTGAGGCAGCGTTTACTGGAAGGTGTGTCAGCCATGACTAAAAGTCCAGCTTCCTCCACTTTATTAGTTTTAAGAACTGTTTAGATTTTAATAACACTTGGTTTGTGACTGTCTGGGGGAATTTTACTCTCTGTAATTTTTCTCCTGTTTTGGGAGTGTAAAGAAGCATGACCTTATGTCTGTTTGTTTTGGACTTCAGACTGAAACAAACCCTTAGCCAACAGAGTCACTGCACTACATTTTGTATACAGTCTCTGCTGGTGTTTCAGCTGAAATAAGCAGCTACGAAGAAAATGGCTCAGTTTTTCCTCATTAAAATATATATGAGTTAAATAGGCTCTAACGTCTCTCTTATAGATCACAATAAGCCATTTTGATGTTTGCGGCTGCTTCAAGGTCGCTGCATTAAATTAAATGTTAATATTTAACATCCCCACCAAAGTCTGATAGTTACCTTTTTATGATAAAAGCAAAAAGTTACTTGGATATCTACTTTAGATTTAAAAACACCAAAGATAATCACAGTAAAGCTGCTTTCAGACATGCACTGGATTCTGCAGATCCTTCATATTTCCTCTCTGGAGGAGGTGCATTTCTGAGCAGTCAATGTGTGAACCCAGCATCTTTTGCTACTTTGAGCCACTGCACTTCCTGCAGCACAACCACCTGCATAGCTAGCTCTTTGGATATGTCAATGGTTTGCAATGCATCCTGGGATAGGTTGCCTTGATAAGTATCCCGCATTTGCATTTTTGGTCACTCAAAAATTAAAGGATGCATTTGTAAGCCGCATCAAGAGGAAACCTTAGAAATGGGACACCCTAGCCACGCCACAATCCATCTTGAAATTCATTTTCTGAAGATAGTGGGACTGAACCAAGACACAGCTTCCGACTAAATGATTAGAACCCATATCACAAGCCTAAATAGCTTTTCATTTTGACAAGTTGCAGTGCAGTTTACATACCAGAGAGCACCACCTCGATGAGGTCTCCTTCATGAATGTCTTCGGCAGAGGTCAGCCTCTGCAGGATGTTCTCATCGTTCAGGTCGTGGCGGAAAAGCAAGATCTTGTCGTACATGCCAAAGAAGCCACACTCGGGGAACTGTAGAGAAGTAAAAATATAAGTTAGCAGATGTAGGCAAAGGTAAGATGCTAGTGAAACACAGAGCCTGATAAAGATGTGTGTGTGCGCAATTTAAGATTAAAACAAAAATTAAAGCTTTAGAAAGCTGACTCATATTCACAATCTGTGCAATAAAAAAACTCCAAATACAAGCAGAAACAGACACACACGTTACATCATTTCCAGTGGCTTACATCACCATCTGTATGAGAAGTATTTTGAAACCTCAGGAAGTGAGCTCCTGCTCAGACCTGCCTTCCTCCCTTAGTCTACAGCATAAAGTTAGAGGAAATACCACGAAAACGACCCTTCACTGACAACTGATACTCATTTTCCCTTCAACCATCAATATGGCCCACATTTATTTTCATTCGTAAAAACCAGCTGCAAGGCATTATGAATGTTATATTTCCCATTCTTCCATTAATACATTGTTATCTTAATGCAAACCATACTCATAATAAAATGCTTCAAAAATGTTTTTTAGTAAAGTAATGCATTTGGTAAATGTTTTAATAAAGGTGCACACAGAAAAATCCACTTTTGGCCATTCTGGCACGACCAAGGTCTTCGACAACAGCATCTGTCGCCGTCATTGCCGAAGCCTGGGCCAAACCAAACCGAGACAAACCAGGTCATGAACTGTAGCCGAGCGCACTGACGTAAAGTCATGTGATAGAGGAAGGGGGTGGGGAGGAGGGTAGAAGAGTGAGGCGTGCAGGAGGAGGAGGAGGTAAACATCCTGAGAGGAGTAGAGGAGAATCAGCGTACAGGAAGTGCAGCGCCAGTCAATACTGAGTCACTTCCTGTACTGAGGGCAGCTCAGCCTCCTGGAGAGCAGTGTTCTTGTCATAAGCACAGAACTACAAAACATTATATGGACTGTACACAAAAAGTGTGTATATGCAAATATCTACTTTACAAATATATAAAATGTAGTTTTGAATACCAGGGGAATCTTCGCCACACCATAACATCACTTTTGCAAACCCGCCAGAGTGGAAAAAGACGATCAGTAGATGGATGTCCGGAATTCGGGAATTGGGTCAATGTAATTTTACACTAAAGCCCGAGCTTCAGGCTCAATGCCAAGCAGGCTGGTACTGGAAGATCTACCAGCTGTTTCCCCCTTAACACGGGTCACACACAATGGGCCATGCAGAACAATGACACTGTGGCCCAGGAGCACTGGGGTTGGCACGGTGTCTGTGCACGGGACGCAGAAGACACCTGCAGCCCTTTGACACAGTGAGAGAGATTGATGGCTCAGGAAAGCACAGGATATATACTAGAAGACTCATGTCAACAAAGCCAGAGGAATGAGCCGTCACAAGGCAAGAATGTGATTCACAGAGAGGTGCAACAGACCTGACAACAACAGACCTGCTGCTGATCTCCCTAAGAAGGACATTTTCTTTTTGAGGATCAGTGAGGTACATCATCACACAAAACATCACTTCTTGTACAGAAAACACTTAGAGCAGCATCCATGAACTGTCGATCTGTTCTCTAGAAATTTGAACATCAGTGTCTCAGAGTGGACATGATAAACAACTGTTACATTGCAAAGGATGATGTAAACTAGACTCATATCATAGCTACACCAAGGGTTGGGCTATATGACAAAACCTTATATCAAGAATGTCGGGGCTTACACACACTTGTATGACACCACACGAGCAGTAGGAGGCAGAAGAGGTCGCAATTGACTTTGATTGTATTTGATTTGGCTGCAACACTGTTTACCCCTGAGACTCCAGAAGTTTTTTGTGAACTCAAACACTTCACCCTCCCTTCCATCTGCATATTGGTGAGTGGATAATGAGTGAATTTTAATTTTTCGGTGAACTCTCCCTTTAAATTCAATCAAGCTGAAAATAAATATTATAAATGATTTCCTGGGCAAGTGGTGAAACTCAAAATGACTTCCATCGGAGTGAAGGCTTAACCCCCCTATAAAGATAATTCAGCTGCTTCAGACCCAAACAGGAGATGGTGATAATTACACAGTTTGTGAAGGAGAAAGTTCTGCCCAGCTCAGAGTGTAACACTGAGGCACGTGGCTACATGATGGAATGTTTCCAATTTGCCCGCTGCTTCTGACACAGCTACATCCTAAATCCTGTCACCATCTGAGGTGATTGATGCAATGTGGCCTAAACCATCACCACCACCACAGGCAAGGCCCGGGGGAGCTGTGGGTGGGTGGGCATCCTTCCTGAGGCGGTTGCAGTGTCATGGTGGGGTTTTTCCTCCACCCACCTGACATGCCTGCTCTCTGACACACACACAAATTGGAGCGCATGCCCACATCTCATGAAGTCACCTCCTCTTGGCACTTTGCGCAACACTTTCCAGTGTAGAGAACAGGTCCCATCCCAGAGCAGGAGCATCTGCAGGCCAGCACGTAACCACCACAAGGCCAGAGGACACTACTTTTTTCCAAGGTCCATTAAAGCAAGAGGAAGGTACACGAACAATAGATCGGCTGGTTGGGGGCACAGTTTAACAATAGTTGTTCAGATCAAATGGATAATAGTTATAATTGATGGCTAACCTGTGGGGTTATAAAGTAGAAATCCCCCTATCAACACATCTCTCCTCCCTGCATGTAAAAACAAACCATTCACCTCCACCGTGCTCACACATGCACCCTCACACCATCACCCGCACATGCTAGCGTGTACGTCTCCAAAGCCCATAGTGACTAAGCATCTCTATTGTCATCTTCTAACGCAATCCATTCAGCGGAGCAGCCGCGACCACACACGCACACCAAAGACCCCGGCCTCAGAGGAGCTGTGTGTGAGGTCCACAAGTCAGCCTGGAAAGACGAGTGGAAAGGGGCTTTGCAGTAGTAAGCTTTTGTTAAACGAACTAATCCTCCATTGATATGCTAAATCCTGTTATATGGAAAGAGAGTGAGAGGCAGGAGAGGAGAGGAAAAGAAGGGAGATGCTTTGGGCTGGGTTGGGATAAGTCTGGTTTGAATAATCAAGTGTGCAGTTGATTGTAGCTGTTCTACAAAGCTCAAAATAATACATTGGAGAAATGATTCATAACTCTGCCATTTGCATCTAATGAGAAATGTGATGTTCAAACAGAGGGGAGGGGCTGCGGCTTGTTCTGAATATCTCGCTCAATGTCTTCGCTATCACCGTGAAACAAATACAAACCCACACCACTTGTTTAGACTTGAACACAGTAAGAAATTGTAGGACAAGTTCACAGAAACGCATACATTTTGCTGCAGAAGAAACATGTTTTGGTTGACCACACGTTGACACCAGCGAATCTCGTTGTCTTTCCAAGTTGAATCTTTGTTGGCGTCTTCTACGTGTATGGGTCCTCTTTTTCATCCTGACATATTTGTATTCTTTAATGTAATTGTTCACTTATGCATCCGTTATGTGTTACTGTTAGCTTTTATCACCAGCTGCTGTGAATGAGCTGTTAAGTGCTGACGAGCCATTCTTCATCAATCAATCATTTTTGCTTTTTACGTCGCTATTTGTGCTGAAAGCATCTGTGTTCCGACCACCCCGACACACACACACACACACACACACACAAACACCCTGCTGAAGTCTGCCACTGGTCACTGAATCATCAGCAACAAACCCACTGGCTCATGGTGAATTTTCCAAACATTTTTCTGCTGTATTCTCACATCGAATCGCTCAGAAATTTTACTGGGTGGCTGGCAGGTAAAGTTCAGTAAAATGTACAGAGCAACTCATTCAGATATTTGCATCCTCACACACAGCCCCTTTGGAAAATTTCTGGAAAATGCACAGTCACAGAGGACAATAAGAGCTTGTGTTGAAAAATAACAGCGTGCACATGATTATGTGTTTTAGACATTTGAGTTCCTGTGCACGTGTGTGATGTGTGGCGGAGGTGGGTGGCAGAAAGAGGAAGCGGCGCTGAGAGCGGTGCACCAGCTCTGCAAAAATGACCACGTGATTACAGTGAGGAAAAGTATGCTGCCTGACCTCCGGCTTCCTCACACCTTTATGAGTCTGGCAGCAGGCCACACACGTGGAGGACAGTGGCAGTAAAAAGCTCTGCTCTTCATCATGATGCACAGGCATAAGGTTACATACATGTGGAGCTCATGAAAACAGCAAGTCCTAGTACTGCTATGTGCTAACAAGCAAGCAAATTGGCTGACTACTATTTTCTCTGTTAATAAATTATTAGTAAAATAATTGCTTGTGACAGGTTCATAAAGCCAAAATTATGTTGTTATTTTTATAAGAAATTCTGTTTATCATCACATAAGACAAGGAAAAGCATCAAATATCACATTTCAGAAGTTAAAGAGGAAATATTTAACGCTTAAAGGAGACATATCATATTCATATTCAGGTTCATAATTGTATTTGGATGACTGCCCGAAAAGGTTAACATGCTCTAATTTTCAGAAAACACATCACTTTCCTCATTTCAGCTCCTCTATTCAGCCTCTGTCTGAAATGCTTGGTTTTACTCCTGTCTCTTTAAGGCCCCCCTCCTGATAAAGTCCAGTCTGCTCTGATTGGCCAGCTGGCCCACTCTGTTGTGATTGGGCAACCACTTCCAGCACGTGTACAAAATGTTGGCCTCTGCCATACCTGGCCTTGTTAGGGTGAACTCCATCAATGTTAGCAAGTATACATTTTTTCTTAAATGTGGGTAATAACAGAAAAAAGGCAGTGCATCATGGATCTCTCCAGCCTTGTTTTCTTGCCTTTCATCCGTAATTGCCGATTGTAGCAGAAGCCGAACCTGTCTTTACTGCAGAGTCATTTGAAATTCAACATTATGGGGTTTTAGTGGAAAAATGCCTTTACTATGCAAATGGGGGGGCATTGTGGTGTCACATGACATCATGATGATATGGAAGTATTCGCCCGACTACTGCTGAGGTGTTTAAGTAGCTTCAGGATCAGTGTTTTCTGTGTTTACTGCAGACTTTGAGCATTTTTACTTTGCTG